GGGCCCCACATTTCCTGGTGCTTTCTTCATAAATTGATAAATCCTACCTTTGATCATGTCAGTGGTTCAAAGGGGAGGCTGGAGTACTATAAGACTGTGCTTGTTAAACAAACAAGATATGGCAGCATGTGTTTATATCTACCAAAGACTAAAATAAATGTCCTTTTTGACTTTTTTGTACATTTAATTTTTTTAACTTGTATTAGTCTGTCAATTTTGTATATATTAATAATACTTATGACTTGGTGTACCCTGTCTTCACGTAGCTGCCATAGTGAATTTCTCTTTTTTGAACCATCCTGACTCAACAGAATCCTACTGAATGAACCAGGTTCCCGGTTCTGACCCACTAATAACGAGATGATCAATTTCTAACTTCCTAATTGACAAGGCCATTCATTGTATGTTGATCTGAACGCCTGAATCTTGTTTAGAACATTTGCAAAGATAACTTGCTCCCTATTAGGGATTGTTTGTTTGTTTTGACTTTTAGTCATCATATAATATGCTTGATAATCATGTGATTAGTTGCTAAGCACTGTGTATTTTTGCTGAATAAAGGAGAGAATCGACATTCCCCTTTTCACTTTCGCATATAACATTGGTTTTCATGTAAAAATAGGGTCAAACTTCATGAAACAAGAGAGAACCTGTTTCTCTAACGTGTAACTATTGAGTAAAGGTAGCTTCATGAAACGTGAAACCTAACAAAACCAGCCTGGTGCCAAGTCCTCGTCCATGCACCTACCTCCAGCAGAAGTGCTCGGCATCCTGGGCTCAGCACCACCGGGGAGGGGACAACGTTGTTCTCTTACCCAGATTGCAGTAGTCACACAGGCTCGTACTGTATCTGAAGGTCACTTGCAGTGGAGGGGATTAATTAGTGAAAACCACAACATGATGTTCCACGTTGAGCTTGAGGCCTAGCTGAGTTTGAGGACACTAGTCCAGTCAAGACAGGGAAATCGGAGAGAGACAGACCAAGGGAAACCAGGCTGAAAATTATGACAGGAGGGTGACTGAGAAAAGCAGAGAAGGCAGTAATCTGGGACTCCCCAGACCCTGCAAAGGGAGAAGCTTTGGAAGTGCATTTAAGAGGGGTCTCATTGACGGAAACGGGGCATATGGGAGGACAAGGAGTTTAAAGTGGGTATGGTTGTAAACCTGGCATTTGTGATGCACGCAAAGTTGTCACGTCCCAGAACAGTGTTCCCCGACCTACGATGGATTCTGCTTTCAGAAACTCTTTTAATTCTAAGCAGATGCATTTGTTCCCCCAAATAATTAAAATTCAATTTTTGAGAACATATCAAGGACGAGATTGTGTAATACCACGATCTTGTTTATTTTGTCTGAGTTGTGTAGTTCGAATACACGGCACCGAGTCCAATGTCAGACAACTGGTAAGAAGCATAAAATGGACTAGAGCGGTTCTAAAATTTCAGCTGTTTATTTGGACAGTTCTTTCCGCTGTCCAGCTGGCATATTTAAACATTTAAGAAGAAAAAAGTCTACATTTCTGAATTATTGGTTAGATCGAGCATTACTGTTAACATCCATTTTTTGTCGTTATGGAACCAAGAAAGCATCTTTAAAAATCATCTAGTCCCATCCGTACAAATGATTTTCCATAAATATAGAGAATGAAATTACATCAGCTTATATTTGTAACTGTTCCCCAAACATTACATGGTTGGAATGAATATCAATCAATTAGCTAAATTCATGCAAGTTTTATTTGACTGTTTTCACATGGAGCCTGTGCATCTGTTTAACTAATTTATGACTAACTCCTGGAGACTATATTAAATACTCTTTATAAAGACCAGCCTTGCCAGTTTCCCCATTGTTCTTTATCCTATTCTTCACTTTTTAATTAAGCTGACAAAGTACAGAGCAGGGGGAAGGTATTTTGGGCAAACATTTTTTCAGTGGGTAAGGAGGAGAATGGAGAAACAGTAAGGTTACTATGTTGCAAAATCCACCAGCATCAGGAAACATCCAAAAACAAACTTTGTTTTTTTTGTTTGAATCTCTTTAAATATAGGAGCAGGTCCCAGTTCCTGTTTACCATCCAACTCCTAGCCAGACCCGGCTAGCAACGCAGCTGACAGAAGAGGAACAGATAAGAATAGCGCAAAGGATAGGCCTTATCCAGCACCTGCCTAAGGGAGTCTATGATCCTGGAAGAGATGGCTCTGAAAAAAAGATCAGAGAGTAAGTCTTACCCATCAGCTGTTTGAAGGGGGAGGGTCGGTTGGCCTTTGGTTTGGTTTACATTATATTTACATTAAACTTCTGCTGCAGAAGTAGTTGTGCAAAATGATTTTTCCCTCCCCTTTGCATTCCCCTCCCCTTTTCCCCTCTCATTGCATTCTTCGCCTCATTTCCTTTGACTAGGGTCGGGTCTCTATATCTGATGGTGAAGTGAGTGCCAAAATGCCACTCGGAAGCTGTCTTTCCTCCCATTGACTGCCTGGAGCAGCCCACAGCTCCTCTTCCTCACCTGTGTACATAACAGTGTCCGCTGCATCTCTTCCATTTTTCTTTCTACTGTTGCCTCTTCTCAGTTCTTTTAGCCTGACTGACCCTTCTGTCTCCTTTATTACCCCATTTCTGATTTTGTCTGTCACAGAGCCTAGAGCCGGCCCTGTCCTCCATTTCTTCTCTCACTTGTACGCTCGCTTCCCCTCCCTAGAGCCACTCCTGAACACAGTGATGATCCTCCCTTATTCTCCTCAGCAGAAGTCTTCATAAGCAATCTCTCTCTCTCTCTCTGTCTCTCTCTCTCACTTTGTCCTGTGTTTTAAGATCACAAGCCCTTCAGGGCAGGGCTGTCTTGGCTCTGCTTTTAAGGCATAGTGCCAATGTGTTGGTTCCATAAAGTTTTTTAAACAATATATAATATGTAGACCAAACCATTTTCATTCTTTGTAATGGAAGTTGCAAATGGTCTCTTGAGTTACACAGAAGTAAGGGTCTGCCCCTGCTCTCTGCTATATCTGACTGACTGCACGAGGGAGTGCCGTTTCCTGTGCCACAGAACCAGGTGGTGATTTCAGTGGATTTACAGCTTTAGCAGCCATGTCCCACGGTCTCTAAAGTTCTACTAAACCATGTCCAAGCCCTCTGATTTGTTCAACTTTTTTTAATACTCAATTCACGAGGGCCTGGCTTGTTGTGCTACAATCTGCTTCCTATAAAAGGTTGGTTCACATGGACATGTATGGGTCCCATGACCTCGTGGCTATGCTGTGTGCTCCTGCACAATTGTGTGTGGATGTGTTCGTGACTTAAACTTGGTCCTTTGTCCCTCATGTGATAGAGACTGAGGGCATGGCCAACATGCCACCGCTACTCCTGGTACTATAGAAGATAATCTGGTGCCTTGTTGGACCCCCAACCCCTACACAGGGATATGAAATTATGAGCTCCTATGCTCCATGCAGCCTAGGGCCTATAACTCAGCTTCACCGTCCCTGAGTGGGAGGAATGGTGCAGGATTATCATTCAGACTGTGAACTAGCATCGGGACACTTCACAAAATAAGACCGTTAAGAAAAGTTCTATAAGTTTACTTTCATTTTGTTTTGGCTGAGAAACCGAGGTCTGTAGGGAGATACAGGTTCAATCAAACAGAGCACCTGGCCTCCACCTTGCCAGCCTCACACAGGACGTGACAGATGCTGTAAATACACTTCAGCAGGACAGCATGAGATGGGAATATGGCAGAGGAGAACAAAAGTTACCACTTTGGTCTCTCCCCACTGCTTCTCTGACCTGTAACATTTTTTACCATTTTTTGACCACAGAGTTTGCTGTCAGCTTTTCCATAGCACATTTACTATTGAAAACTTCTGTCGGGGAAAAATGTTATAATGCCAAAGAATAGGAGTTGATATTAATACACTCCTTACATATTGGCACAGAATAATGAACACGGAGCTTTTGGACTGGGTAAAATGACAGCTGCGCAGATAGTACAGGTGGACTTTCCTGGGTCACCTACAGGAAAGGCCAGATAACAGGCTCTTGAACCAAGCCTGGTTTTGGCAGCCTGATGGCAAAAGGAAGGAGAGTCTGTCCAGAGGCATAGACACACTATTCAGTCCCAAAGCAGCAGTAACTTCAGAGGTTAACAGCCTGAGCAGATTAAAGGACCTGGCTCAGGATGAAAACTGACTTGTGATGGCCCTGATGGTACACAAAGCAGATTCGCTTCACCTTCACATACTGGCTTTTGATTGAAATTTTAAAGTTTCGCCATCCATTCCCAAGCTAAAAAATGAGCTGTGTTTCATCTCACAGATGTTTAGGGCTGGAAGGGACCTCCTGAGATCATTGGGTCTAGCCCCCCTGCTCTCTGCAGGAAAGACTGTGGGGGGTCAAATAACCCCAGCAATGTGTGGGTCCAGTCTCCTTTTGGAAGATCTCCAGGGTAGGTGCCTGCACCACCCTTGCTGGGAGTCTAGTCCAGGGTATGGTCACACGAACTGTGAAGACATTTTTTCTGATATCTTGTCTGAAATCTTCTAGGAGTTTATGACCGTTGCTCCTGGTTTTCCCATGGGGTGCTTTGGTGAATAGTTGCTCATCTAGTCCCTGATGCTCATATTTGTAAGCTGCTGCTACCAAATTCCCCCAAAATCTTTTCTAAGCTAAACAGTCCCAGATCTGTCAGCCTTTCCTTGTATGGCTTGCTCTTCAAGCCTCTAATCATGAGTGGCTCTTCTCTGGGCTCTCTCAAGCTTCTCCACATGCTTCTTGAAGTGCGGTGCCCAGAGCTGGGTGCAGTATTTCAGCTGTGGTCTCACCATTGAGTAGAGCAAGAGAACAACCTCCTTGGTTTTGCTTGAGATGCATCAGTTGATACATGCCAGCACATTGTTTGCTGTGCAAACTGTAGCATCACACTGGTGGATCATATTCATTTTATGGTCAGTTATGACCCCCAGGTCCCTTTTGGACATGGTGCTAGCAAGCCTGTAACTTTGTTGCAGATTTTTCCTCAAACTGCTCTCTATTTAGACTATGGAAACAGTCCATTTGCCTTTCAAAGTTCACCTTTATTTGAATTCTTGATGACATAAATGGTGTTGGGATCTTGGAAGATGGGAGCATATACTGCATTCAGATGTTGTTATATGAATAATCCTGCCCTGGTCTTCTCCTTCAGCAAACCTATTTCTTTGGCAGGGTGGGTAACGCTTTTCTTTGGCTAACAGTAAAGCATCTTACTACTTCTCTGGCCTCTCTTTCCCCAGGTGTGTGATCTGTATGATGGACTTTGTTTATGGGGACCCTATCCGATTCCTGCCATGCATGCACATTTACCACCTGGACTGTATAGATGACTGGTTGATGAGATCCTTTACGTGCCCCTCCTGCATGGAGCCAGTGGATGCAGCACTGCTTTCATCATATGAGACTAACTGAGCCAGGGTTTATCCTCTGACCCATCAAGGAAACCATCCATTTTAATGGGTTTGATCCTTTGTCATTCAGCCCCAAAGAGCCAGGGATTAGGAATTAAGATCATGCACAAAAAAAGTACATTTCCTAAAAATTCCTGAAAGGCTGCAAACATTGGAGAAATGCATAATATTTTAGAAACTATAGAAAAAGTAGGAAGTTATTTTTATGTAAAGCCTTGACCCACTCCTAAAAAATATAATGATCCTCTAACGCCTGTTCTTACACCCATATATAGGAAATGTGTAAAGTGTTACAGCAGCTAAAAGTGTTTAAATTGCCTGTATCAGATTTTAGTAGAAGCGAGATAAGGGTTGTTTTTTTCCCCTTAAATAAAGTAATAGTTTCTGCTCTCATTCTGTTCACAATCTCCAGGCATCTGGGTCAAGGCTTTATTAAAAACTACATTTTATAACACTGGCACAAAGAAATAGTTTTAAGCTTGTTTGCACAGTTCTTTTTTTTCCATTGGAAATGGAATCCATTGCCTTAGGTCTTTTTAATAGTGTATTGTTATTGTTGGGCTGGCTCTACGCTTGAAAACCAGTTTATTTATAACCTGTTAAAAGTGCTGTATTTTGTTTGCGGTTAGGATTATGCAGAATTCAAAGTGATCTCCTAGCTTGTAAGCAAACTGAGATGCACTATCCATTTTCTATAAGTGATGATTTCACGTGAGGATGCTAAACCAGTCTGATAGTATTTTTTTTTTTTCTGTTTTTCCTTAATTTGCTTCAGGTTCGATCAGACAGTGATCCTTAAACTTAAGTATACTTTGAGTATCTACATTTTGATTTACCAACTTGAAGGTGGACACCTGTGCTTAGACATGATGATGATGTAGCTATCAAGTAATCCAGAACACTATGTCCCATTTTCAAAATATAATGTCACTGTTGAATATCACCACCCTCTTTCCCTTCATTCCCCTAAAAAATACTTGTCTTGGATGATAGCAAAAGGATACTGCATCTCTTATTCCTGTAGTTCTTCTTAGGTTATCAAAATTAAGAATAAAACATACTGTATCTTGGTCTCCGTATGAAATGCATCTGTTAAGTCCTGCTGGCTGACATTTGTCTACCAAGCAGATATGAAACCAGATATAAGAAAACTGTTTTGCACATGAATACAAAATTCATATAGACACAGAAGTTCATAGCAGTGATCAAGGAGAAAAAGTACAGCTGAAGTAAGAGTGATACAAATATCTACATTTCTGAAGCAAAAAGGTATGTGGTTGGTAGAGACAGTCTAGCAAAGATTGTAGCTGTAAATGTTTTTATCCATTTAGCATGCGTTTATTTTTCTTAAATGTACTCCACTGTGACTTTTATACATTCGATGTAAAGCTGATACATGGAGAAGTCTTAGTCCTGTAAAATGAGATGCAGCCTCAAGTTAAACGCAAAAAATCAGGGAACGTTCTTGATTGTTTTGCATATACCATTTTGAGCACTCGATCTAACCATTTGTATTTAAAGACGCAAGTACTTGGAAGATTCTGTGTACTTAAAAAAGAGAGGAATTCTGTCTGTCATGAATCATCTTAAAAGATCAGTCAGCAAAATACAGAATCAGCATATTGGTTTATTTATTAGCCCTGCTGCTGAAATCTACACCTTACTACACTATAGATGTAGTTGATACGGTATCCAAAAGGTGTTTAAACCAATCTATAGTACCAGGTTCATTGAAATAGTTACACAATGAACTTGCCAGAAGTTTTTACTTAATTCATATATACTTAATTACATGAAGCAGATGGGAGAGGAAAGACCTGAAGTTGTGCAATATTCTCAGTGGTAAACCATTGTTCCTTTTTATCATTCCATGTGTGTTCTTTCTGTGCGTTTTTTTACATAAAACGTAATGTCCATGTTGTCAAGTATTATAATCCAGTTTTTTCCTTGTTAAAATTGGCAAATGAACAATTTTTAAACATTTTTCATGTTTGGTATTAGTCTTTATTTATTATAAGACTTGATTATGAAAGATTTGGAAGTAGAATTGAAGTGACTGGTTATTGAGCTGAATGCTTTTCTAGGCACTTTGTATATAGTTGAACTTTTAACACTGATATACTTACCATGTTAAGAGAAACTTAAACCTATGCTTTTATTAAAATACTTGTTAAATAAACTAATAACAAAAAGGTGTCAAGGGCTAAAGTTAGAATTGATTCTACAAGAACATTCCAGAAAACCCAAACTTCAGCCTAGAGCAGGTATGTGCAATTATAATAAATGCATTAATTGGTTTCACAGTTTTAGGCACAACGCTGATGCGTAAGAGATTTGCGGTTCCATAACTGAAGACCCTTAATCAAAATTCTGGATTTATATTAATATTTTGGATTTTTAATTCAGAGCTCCAAAGTGAATCTTGTGCTAGAAATAATTTATGTCAGGCTAGGACCAAATGGTGTCACGGGAAGTGGTAGACTGCACTGTTAAGATCACAGAGGGCCTAGCTCCAGCTCTGAAAATGATTTCCATTGGGCTTCAGTTCCTCCAGCTGTAAAATGAAGATAATGCTTGCTTCCTACTTGGTAATGTCATTTTGAATTAAACATAATGATCTCAAACTATGTTAGGCAACCTGACTGCAACAGTCATTTCCTAATCTACGTACACTGTGGCCCATACGTGGCATATGACTTGGATTCTTTCAGCCTAGACGTATTTTGCATTTTTAATGTAACCTCCCATCATATATGGCATGGTTGTATTCTTGTTATAGGTGGCCCTTAGTTTAATGTTTACAAAGTATTTTGAAGACAAGGTGTTATATAGTACTAGATGTCATAATTATGTTTAATTTTAAACTTCCTTGAGAATCCACATAGAGAATATTGTAGAACCAACATCCCTTACCAGCCACATGACGGCATGATGCTTAGAAACAGTACAAGCTTTAGAAAACTTCATTGCACAAGCCATGTATAACACCCATAAAGCATTTTATAAAATATTGGGCACTCGGTTCTGTATTTACGTTAAGACTTAGAACCGTCTCAGCATTATTGGGACTGAGATGTCATTTTTTATTTTATAAAACCAGACTTCCTTGGGACTGTCAATCTTGTTACATAGGCTTCCAAGAGAAAAAATAAGTTTTAGAAGCTTCTTAAAATTTCCTAATTTTTTTATACAGGAAGAGCCGTGAATTTAAAAACCCTAATTTGTTGCAACCTCCCTGCATTAGAAGCAGCTGCCCCTTTTGGAAAGCTGAGAATCCCTCCCATGGTATAAAGCACACCTTTCTAGCTCGAGGGATTTTAAAATACCAGAGCTTACACTCATTACTTATTCAAGGACTGGATGTTTCCTGTTCCTGGCCTGGTGCAGTGCAATCTTTGGGGCAAAAATGGAAATACATTTTTGGTGCATGGTTTTTTATTTTTTAACGACAGGTATTTGACTCTAATGATCAAGGCCTATGTACATCAAGATGTACTTCTGGCTAGCATATATGTTACATGATTAGAAATGCATGATAAATACCACCCGCCTCTCACCAGCACTTCCATACACCCACTTGTGTCTTACTAATTCTTTGCAGTGTTTTCAACAATTAAGTTTCAGAAGCTGATGCATGAGAATGTTCATTAAACTTGTAAATTGTCCAGAAGTTCATAAGACGCCCTGATTTTAATATCCCAAATAAATTTGCTTTAAAGGACTACATTTTCCTTTATATAGAAGTTTAGCTTTTGGGGGGGACGTATGAATTGGTTGTGTGCTGGTCACCTTTTAACTGTCTAAACCCATTTCAGGATGAGAATGTGGAGCTGAGCATTTCATAAAGAGGAAAACCCAAGTTTGTCTTTTGACAGAGTAACTGCAAATTTTCCATAAGGTACACTTCTGATTTAAGGAAGAGTTGTCTTTACACCGGTAGCAAATTTCTTGTGATTTCTCCTTTGCATATTGTATTAAACGTGTTTGTGAAAATTATTGTCCAGCTCTCTAGCAGCGCAAAGTTGCAAGGGCAACACACTTCAGGAAGCAAGCATTGTAATTTACTCATGTGTTAGGGCTCCTTTGCAAAGGGACACTGACACCAGCAGCGTTCTTGGTTGAAAAGCTGAAGTGGAAATGAAAAAGATACCTTGTCTTCTGTACATCATGAAACTAGCAAGCGTCTCCCAAATAGAACTGTGTGCACAAGAGGACCTGGACTAAATGACCCTTGAGGGCACTTTCCAATTCTAGGAGTCTCTTGTAGATATTTAAAACTTATTTTGAAATCCTTCTGAAGTTGATTCCTATAATGGAAATTAGTTTTACAATTTGCTTTGTGATTTAATAGCACCCTGGCTCCCGACATAATGGGCCTGATCCGGATCACTAGATCAACAAGTCCTGGTGCACAGAAGTGAGACTCTTCAGCAGTTTTTCAAGCTTCAAGATGTTGAAGTAGGGGCCGTCTGTTTGGCCTGGTTTAATGCTGGGTAAAAAGAGGAAGGCAGGAAGGCCAAGTAGAGATCAGACACAGATGAGACGAAGCCCAGGATGGGGTTTACTTTTCTCTGTGAGCACCAAGGTCTTGGGAACTCTTCAATCAGCAAGGGGCATAGGTTGGTCTTCAATAACCCATGCTAATCAAGAAGCCAGGACTCACTGGATAAAAGGTGCAGATGGCCTTAGCTTCCCATGAATCCAGCATATTCGGCAGATGGAGGAGCAGGGCCTGTAGCCTTGTACTTCCTCCCCCAAATCCCACTCACTCACGGAAGGAGCTCCTACAGAGCTTGTTGCCCAGAGACTCTCTCTGAGTTTCCAGAGGGGATGGGGAGATCTTACTTACATACTTTTACTTTCTCAACTCCATGGTTTTGTTTTTTTAACTGTTTGACTTAGAAGCTTTGGGCTGGGAGGTCAGGAAGTGAACACTGGAAAACCCTATCAACATGCAGAAAGTTGGCAGTAAGTAAATTCCCTTCATCCTTCTGCAACAGGTTGAGCAGTCGGGAGCTGCAGGTTCTTGATGCACATGTGCTTTATATTGAGTCCTTTCAAAAAGCAGTGCCCGCTGGGCTGTGCACATGCAGTGTGCACGGTAGAGTGTTAAAAAAAAAAAAAAAAAAAGCTCAACTCCTTACTGCCCACAGCATCAAGAAACCAGGAATGTAGCATCTGCATTGCTTGTTCCACACCTTGTTTTAGGATTGAAGTCTTTAAAGCTTTTAGTTATTGCCTTCCAATGAACTCAGTCTGCCCCTCAGCTGTTTTCGTCATAGATAGGAGTAGAGTGATGTCTTCCTGCTGCATTCAGGGTGTCCTCAGAAAGGCAGTGTTTGATTCACTAACCTGCCTGCCCATCTGCTGGTGCTGTGCTGATCAGTGATGGCCATGGTTCCTCTTCGCTGTGCCTTAGCAAAGGGCATACACCAGTGGGCTGCAGCATCTGCAAGTCCTTTCCCAAGAGGCTGAACAAGGCTAGAGAGGTGAAGGTGGAGCCCTTTGTGCCACAACATTCCCATTCAAGTAACCTCTGACCCAGGCAGACTGCTTGAGGAACTTCAGACATCTGGCCAGCACATCAACTGGCTGAGAGGCTACCTTTCCCCTGTCACTTCTCTCAAGACCTAGGTTTCAACTATGCCAGCGATGGTCTCTTAGGCTCTGGGGCTCAGGAACAGCACTAGCACCAATCCCCCTTCAAGGAGTGGGAATGGAAGTCTTCCCCAAGCCCCAGACATCCAGAATGTTGAAAGCTGAGTCCTATACAAAAAGAAAGCTGAAGCTAGCCCTGACAACCACTTCTAAACATGATGCAGGCTGCCAAAGCCCACATTCGTGTCACCATCTGCCTCGGTACCAAACACTGTAGCCCTAAATGAAGATGCCAGACAGTTACCACATCCAAGTCTTCTGCACCAGAAGAGCTCAGTGGACACACAGGAAACAGCATAAACTGGTAGATATGCTGCAACTTTCTTCAGGACAGCAGGTGATGCAAATAAATCTGTACCATGTGAGCCAGTACAGATCCCATGGCACCAGCAGCTGTTGCAGTTCCACGCTAAATGGAGAGGTCCAAATATTTCTACCAACCTCCCTCCTCCAGTACTGGCATAGCCCAAAGTCCTCCCTGAGGACACCAAAACCCTCTTCTGAAGGAAAGGCTCCTCCATGACAAGCCTCTGCATGAGAAAAGCAAATTATCAGGTATATTTTCCTGTGACCTCTTGTGTTGGAGGGGGTTTTCTAGCTTGGTGTTCATACTTTCTGAGGTCCCTGGAAGACCTGAAAGGCCTTTTAAGGCAGAGGGACAACTTACAGCCCTACAGGCTTTTTAATTAGCCCTCTGTGCACTGGCTACCACAACGATGGTCACCACTTTCCAGCCACAGGCTCCAGGAATCCTACCTGAAGTACTTGTTACCAGTGAGAACCGTCTTTCTGAATGCTGCAGTATTTTCAGTGAAACAGAGAAGGAGCTTTTATATGCATAAAATCATCTAAATACCAACCTGCAGTTGCTGAATCTTAGGAGGAAATTTTTGAGGCAACAGAATAGATGGAGGAAATAGCTGCCACTGTGCACTGCCATGAGCCTCAGCACCCCCAGGAAGAGGCTGCTCACATAGGAGGTGTTGTCACCTGCCTCTTCCTTGACTGTTGCCTCAGTCTGCAGTCTGGGAAGCATCACTTTCGACATGCAGGCTGGGAAACAAGGTGGACCTACCAAGGAGTCAACTTCTCTCCCAATTTTAGTAACCCATTAGAAATCTCTTCCATTTCTAGGAATTTGGTTGGGATTAAGTCTTAGGGTAACTCCTTTTGATAACATATGTCTGAGGCGGTGTTCAGACGTAGTACACCCTTGTCAACGAGAGACCGATCTAGCCAGGTAGCCTCATTCTGCCCTCTGTGGTCTGGCAAATTGTTCCCATATCAGAAGTGGGCAGAGTAGCAACATGGAGCTCATTATTCCCTTGTGTAGGCTTCCAGGCTGGAATGCAAGACTGGCAGGTGATCCTGCAATCGCTCCTTCGATAAGCCTCTGCTCACCTGGAACTAAACATAGCAGGTGAGGGCCTGGCACTATTTCTATACTGCAGGAAGTGAAGGACATGTAAAGCACAGTAGCAGTAGCAACAGAATCTGATCACATAAGCATGGAACATGTGTCTAGCAGGAGTGAAATCTGTGTGGACAAGTCATCTCCCATTCCTGTGGGGTAAGTAACCCTTAGCCCAAAGCCCTCTCACTGTAAGCATGAAGTGGTATTAAGATGACTGTTCTTCAGTGACTTGCCTGTACAGAAGTTTGAGATATTTAGCAATTACTCTAGGCATCAAATCTCTGTCATCGCTGTGGTCTCTGAAACAGTATTTTCACAATAACCTTCATTTTATTTTCCTTACAGAAAGTTGTGAGTTGTCCCGCAGTGTTTTCCTATCATTTGTTTCCAGTAGTTTTGTCATCCATTTCCTGAAGTCGTGATCTCTGATGTGAAAAGTCATGTTGTATCATGTGGGTATTTACCTGTACCCTGTTTCTCTCTAATAAAAAGCGTATCGTATGAAAGAAGAAAAAGTCAACTTGAAGGCACGACTCATTTTTTTGGCATGATTCTATTAACTGGAATTAAGTAGTAACAGTTAACTTTAATATAATTAGATAGAACAACAGACATTCCAGAATGTGAAAATAAATCTTCCCCCAAATTATGCTGTATTCCCTATAACAAGAATTTTGGCTTAGTGAAAAATATGAGAAGTTCATATTGCTCCACGATTTTATCTGTCTCTAGACAACGGAACAAGCCACTCCTCTGTCAAAACAAACCGGCTGGGCTAGCAGCTTCATTTACATGTGGGTGGTAAACCTGAATGCTACCATCAACGATTTCACAAGTGCTCATAGTAACAGATTCTGCCAATAAATATGCTTAACTAATGCAGCTCTACCTACTGGCCATGTCACAAGGCTGCAGTCATTTTAAAGAGCAGACTAGAAGCATATGGCTTCACTTAAAAGTAAAAAGCTGAGAAGAGTGAAAATACAAATAAAAGTCTCTATCCAGTGTGCTTCTGTTAATTTACAAAGCTGAGACGGCTGCTACTGTTCTTAATTCAAGTAGGTAAAAGGTTGTGCTTTAAAAAGGAATCGACAGAAAATTTAGAGAAGGCCGTTTGGCCTGCCTTGTCTGTGCTCTTCCTGTAAAACATGAGTCAGGAGCAGCGAGCGCAATGAAACATGCTGTAATACAGAATTTCACATGATCTTTTTGTCTGGCAGTAATGTGCACAAGTAGGGTTTTGAGAACAATGATGGGATGTGTCTTAAGCCTTCAGAAATATTGCCGAACAGAGAGCAAAAGCACTGCAGAATCTTATCAAATGTGTGAGCTCCCTTTCTGTTGGCGAGTCTTAGCAGAGGCAGTGATTTACTGACCGTGATTGAAATAAAGATATTTGTTTGGTGTCTCTTTTTCTAA